CGCTCCAAACCACTCATATTATACTCAATCTTCCCATGGATGAAAAGTGTGTATTTTCGTATTGTGCAATGTCATTAGTTTCATCATCTCAAGCGTTTAATTTTGTTCAATACTTCCATAATGAATAGTAATCCATAACATTTGATTTGATTTGATTTTTCACAGAAAGGCACAAGCAGTTGAAATATTGGTATCGTGTGCTGTTGTCCTCTCCTTTAGTTTGACATTGTATCCCGCCATTGAAATTGCCTAAAATGCGGTCAAAGATCGCTGTAAAAAGAGACAAGTGATGGCAAATTATATTGTGAGGTTTGTGTAATTGTGCATTCAATTCATTTTTTAAAAATATTTATATTCACTCAATTGATTTACATTGAATTATTTGCAGAGCAACACTTTCGATCTCCGCTATCACGGTTGGATTTTGCCTACCGTCAATAGGTTCGTTGATGGCATTGATTGGTGCATTTGGTTTTTCAATAACTGGTTTGCTTTTCCCGGTAAGTGTTGTGTGATGCTTTTGTATCACTGTAGCAACAAAACAAGCACGTTGCAATATTGTGTTAATTTTATAAAGGTATGCATCGAGCTAGTGACGTGCTGGGAATCCGGATATGGACGATTCAATTGGATATTATATAAAAATATAATTTGTTTTGCATTCGGTCTATTTGCTTTCATTTTTGGTACAATGGCGGCTATCACTGATATTATCCATGAGTTCTTTTAAAGTTTGAAAGAAAAAGAAAAATTTCAGTTTCCACACGATGTTCACTCTGTTGTACTGTGTGACTTGCATACATTTTATATAAATTTTCAATTAAAAATCAATGAAAAACTGCCCTTATGCAAATGAAATGACTAGCTGATGTAGTCATAATGGAATAAAGTTCCACAATAGCAGTGAACAACGTTCATTGAACATAGAGTTTTCAATTAATGATTTTTGATTGAAAAATCAAACTGCATTTAACAACGGAATTATGTAATGACGTTATCAAAATAGAGCGTCATCACAACATGTAAAAGTAAAGAAGCTTGTCAACAGAAACAAATGTGAGCATGTGATTTCAAAGGGCTTGCGACGCCTGAAATACGGCAATATTTTCATATATTTCTATATTTCAGTCATATTCCGTCATATTTCAAATATTTGGAATATTTGATATATTTAAGGCATATTTAAGCCACATTTTGACGTTTTTTGGTATTACCCGATATTATTTTGACTATATCTATATGAAATATGTCTCTCAATTTTCATATATATGAAATATTTGAAATATAGCCAAATATGTCAAATATACGAAATATCAAGATGCATTTTGTAAACAAATAATGCTTCAATATTTGAAATATTTGGCATATTTGAATATATTTGAAGATATTTCATATATATTTGTTCGTCGCAAGCCCTTCGTGTGATTTGGTACAATTGTAATTTTATTAAATAAATTACTTTGAAATGTGGCAATTTCATTTAATTTTTCAAGCACACTTGCGATAACAAGTAATTGCCTTTTTATTTACATGAATTTAAAGTGTTGATTATATTAAATCTAATCGTTTATACTCGAATTGTGGAAACAAATAATCGAAAAGTAGAGACTAAATCATGGCACAATAATTTTACAATTTACAATAGACAATTAAACAATCGTTACAACCGACGTGAAAAGTTTGGACACTGGACAGCCCTGTTCTAGTTTTTTTACAAATTTTCTGAAAAAAATGTGTACACCACCCAACCTTGTTTTTTTATATACTTATTTGACAATGGTGAGACGAATTAAAATTGTACACAATTAAAGAGTAGAATGATAAATTCATAAAAACTCTCATATTTAGGTCGTCAACGAATATTAAATTATATCTTAATTGGAAAGATAAGGAGAATAATTGGTGCAACCAAATGAAAATTATTGTGAGTACGCTTTCTACGGTGAGCTGATCAACAAACCGTAACCTCTTTTGATATAACTATTGGATCATTTTCACCAATTATGGACTCAAAAAATAGGTAATGGAAATATTCTGAATATTCTAACTGCAGTTTTGATTGATTTTTCAAAAAATAAATTCATAAGTTCTATGGGACTAAAATGCATTTACCAGCGAACTAAGCAAAATGAATGAAAATAATTTCAGTTTAGTGAATATATATCGATGAGAATTGCATTGTCAAATAAAATGATTCTTTTGTAGATTGAAGCCGGTCTTAAGAGCAACAACAAATGATTCTGAAAGAGCGTCAACTGAATTCGATCCATTTTCAGGGAGAAAAGTCGAACATCCCACAAAGTATGTAAATAAAATAAAAATCTTTCTTCCCAGTGGTAATTCAATCGTTTTTATTTTATTTTAGTGATTATGAAACATTGGCTCATCTTATGAAAGCATCTCTAGGTACTGGAATGCTTTCTATTCCATACGTATTTAAACTGAGTGGTTTGTGGTTTGGTTTAATACTCACATTAGTGACATCATTCATCTGTGCACATTGTAGTTACATAGCAGTAAGTGTCAAATTCCGCTTGCAGCTAAAACAAAACCACACAAAGATGCTTTGAATGATCAATTGCTTTTTTCTAGGTGAAATGTGCGCACATTCTGTACAAACGAATAAAAGTTTCATCGATGACATATCCCGAAGTGGCTGAAGCTGCATTCGCTAATGGTCCCAAAAGAGTGCGTTATCTGGCGAAAACTGCTAGATATTTTGTAACGATTTGCACGTTTATCACTTACTTCGGCGCATGCTCTGTATATGCAGTGATCGTTGGCAAGAACACAAAACAAATGGTCGAGTACTACTACCCTGGAAGTGAAATTGGTATTCGCGTATCGATTTTAATATTCTTGCTGCCACTAGTTCTACTCACATCAATTCGGAATCTGAAATTTCTGGCTCCCGTTTCGATATTGGCCAACTCTTGCATGGCGGCGGGATTGAGCATTACAATCTATTATTTTGTAAGGGATTTACCAGATATTCGTGAGCGCCCCTTTTTGAATGATGTTAGTGGAATTCCAGCCGCAATACCGATGACGGTTTTTGCAATTGAAGCGATCGGTGTGATAATGCCGCTTGAAAACCAAATGAAAAAACCACAAAACTTTGTGGGAATTTTCGGCGTTTTAAACCAAGGAATGGCCATTGTTACGGCCGTCTTTGTTATACTCGGATTCTTCGGATATTGGTGCTTTGGTAATGCTTCCGAAGATAATATTGTACTCAATCTCCCCGTTGATGAAAAGTATGTACCGTGTATGGAATTTTTGTATGTTTTGAACAATCTCAAACATTTTATTCATTTTTTCTACAGAAAGGCACAAACAGTTAAAATATTAATATCGTGTGCCGTTCTCCTCACATTCAGTTTAACATTGTATCCTGCCATCGAAATTACCTATAATGCGGTTAAAGATCGCTTTGAAAAGAAACAAGTGATGGCAAATTATATTGTGAGGTGAGTGCGGTCAAATTACTTTTTAAAAATATTTATATTTGCTCAATTGGTTTAAGGCACTCCAGGGCGCACGATCGCTCACAATTGTAATTTCACACGATCCTTTACATGTCGATATATGCAGAAAAAATCGTGCAATCGTGCGCGTTGCAAATGGTTAAATACAATTTCGTCTATAAAAATGACAAAATCGTCTATAAAA